CGTTTGGTCTGAAATGTTAGCCATCTCCCCCACCTAATCTATGGAGAGTACCCATGCGTGCCCCTTTTCCTTTGTCCTCTTCCGTTTTCCTGATCCGGGCCGCTTATTTGTTCTTTGATGAGTTTCAGCTACTCACTTTCCAAAAAAAAAAATAAAAATAAAAAAAATATGGGGAGGGCCGGGGATTCGTTTTGGTGAAGCATTTGTAAAAAGCATTTCTGCAGCACCTCTCATCTCCTATCCATTTATTATTGGGGTTTTTATAATTAATGAGGTGTCCACAAAGTCAGTGTCGTCTGGGACAGAAGGTTCCCAAATATGCTGTCTGGGTTCTGGCCTCAGGGGGAATACTCCAGATTTCAAGTAGCAGGGATGATCAAATGGGGTCAAAAATCAAAACCAAAAATTATCCCTACAGGCTTCCGGCAAATCCCCATTGAAACATCCCTAAACCAAAATTTAACCCACCCAAAAATCCCATGCCAAATTTACAAGCCTTAAAATTTTCCAGAAAAAAATAAACTGCAATATAACACAAAAAATAGAGTTTTCCAAAAAAGTGTGGCTGTACTTTAATCACAGAACTTGGCAGCCAGGATACGCAAGCACTCCCAAGAATCTTCAAATTGTTTTGAATACCCCCAAAATTCTCTACTTGAATCAAGCTATCTGAAAAAATACTTGCCAGAATTTCTTACCAAAAAATCTCGGAATCGAAAATTTCAAACCCAAAAAGTCCTTCAATCACCCGTCACTTGAAATCTGGAGTACCTCCCTAGGGTTCTGGCATGCCCGAATTCTCCTTTCCCTTTGAATGCAAGTAACAAAGGCAATTAATAAGGTATCACTAGACTGTTTCAGAAAGCTCAACAGTTTGCTATTTATGCATGTAAAAATTGAGCCTGATTGTGGTACTGTTCCCTCAGAACAGTGACATCAGTTTCAAGATCATAATACCTAAACTCTGTATGACTGTTATTGGATGATGAGGTTTTTGTGATACCTGGAACATCTGGGTGGGAGGCTAGGAATACTCAAGGTTGAGGTGTTATAAGCCAAGCTGAAGACTGAGGCTGATAACACTTATCAAGACCTTGATTACTCCAAATATCATAAAAAAACCAAATCTAATAATAATATTGTCTTATTACACATAATCCATCATGATCACACAGAACACAGTTTGACATTGCTCTTGGGATTCATGCACTGCACATGCAACCCACAGATTAGTCACTTATCTGTAGGTTGCACTGATTTCCAAAATTAACTGTAGGCTATTAGCCAATGAGAGGACAGATGGTGAGTACAATGTATGATTTAAAAAATGCACTTTATTTGAGTTTCAATGTATTTAGCTCGAAAGTGCTAATTGGGGACACTATATTTCAAGACATCTCCTACTGGAGACAGGACCACCATTTTATGTGGTTATCTGAGCCACGCGAAGGTCTGGCCATTTGCAGGGCAAAGGTAGTACCTTCATTTCTCAGTTATTTTAAGACCCTGAGTATGGGTCTGACCCCAGGAATCAAAACCGTGACCTCCTGCTCTGCAGTCAAGCGCTCTACCAGACTGAGATAATCCTGCCGCATTTATTTGAAACTCTGTATGTGATTTCATATGTGACTACCTACATAGAAAGTTGAAACAAGCCTGCAAATTTTTAGGTTTCCCATTCAGATACAGGAGCTGATAACTTCCACAATTTATAATGGACATACAATCATACAACTATATGCATTCTGTGTGAGACACTACAATGGGGTTTAACCCTATAAATAGCCTACAGCTTTTTTACACCTAAGAATTTTTCTGTCCTCAGCAGCTGCGATAAGCATTGCAGCACACTCTGTATCAACAAATACTTCCCTGAAAAGGGTTCATAAACTTCTAACTTTCCAGCATCTACAGCTTTTCCTGTTTTAGAATTTACTCCAAGAACAATCCCATTGCTCTTCCAAGACTTCTCAACGTCATGTAGACGATGCACAAAATTTTCTTTTTGGTGTGAAATAGAAAATGAATTTTGATGGAGTGTGTGTGGAATAGTTTGCAAAGCTTTACTTAATATTTCCAAGGCTTGTGACATATTGAGATCTACTACATTGAGTGAATGAAGCTTCAAACTAAAGCTCATAGCAAACTCAGCAGCACCACAACCAGGTAGAAATGTCAGGCAATTCCCATCTTCACTGAAAGACATTTTGACACATTTTAAAGCATTGTGAAGAGCAATGTAGTATTGTTTACACAATCCTTGAGCTGGGGAGCAAAGAATTAAATAGTGTGGACTGAACTGAAGGTTTCGTGGGTCGACATGCATGCAAACAAACTTCTGATGACCTAGTCTCTGAGTACCACACGAAAGACTTGTGCCTAAGAAGACTTCGTCAAGGTCGTTACTGTCAATATTATGAACAGGAAGTACTCCAGTGCACTTGCAAATGTATTCTGTATACTCGACAGGGATCATACTGACAACAGCTATTCCAGTTTGCCTACAGAAATGTAAGACAAGGTCGGACACATTCTCTGATGATAAAATCAGTCTGATCCCATGTTGTTGAAACATTGTTATCAACCTTTGAACTTGATTTCTTTTCCACTGAAAACTCATGTCAAATGAACTTTGATCATTGATTCTGATAGATGATGGCACCTGTGGCTCAGATATGTCAAGGCTACGGTTCAAGACTATGAACTTGAAGTTTTGAAGTGTAGTGAATATTTCTTCCACATCAAAAGCAAATTGACGAGGAATTAATATTCCTTGTTTGACTTGTGAGAATGAAATTGGTAGACTTGGCACTTCTATACAAATCTGAGGAAATTCATCAATCACGTGCAAAACCGATTCTCTTAGAGACAACACTGGGGATTTCCAAGTCTTTATTATCAAGTCAGAAAGAATTTCCGCAAAAAGAAAGACTGTATTGACTGGAAATTTTCCATTCATTGTTGAATATATCAGTCTATTGATTTTTTGCTTTATCGTCGAGAGATCTTCATCTTGCAGGTCCGTCGTTATGGTGATTGTTCGAAGACATGGAACAACAACTTCGTCAATTAACGTCGACTCAAATTGAATAAAAGCTCGAGATAAAGCGAGAAGAGACTGTCTTTGGTTTGAGGACATTACTGCTTTACTACTTCTTCCTGAAATTCCCGTACACTGCATAGTTTCCCTTAAAAGAGCTGTGAGCAGTAAAATAAACGATGTTGAGCCATCTCCTGCAATGCTGCTCAGTGAGACAACACCATCAACCACGGTTCTACTGATGTGATTATCCAAACTGAGTGACTTCAAAATCAGTGCACCATTGTTGGTTATGAGAATATTACCAGAAGATGAATTTAACATGACATCAAGCCCGTTCGGACCAAAGGTTTTCTTTAAGATTCCTTCCAAACTCTCACAAATTTTCAATGCCTCTTGTGCGACCGCCATATTGAAAATGAAACAACGATCAATAATAATGTGGTCAGCTATCTCCCAAGTTACAGTCTCCCGGATTAGAAACAAAGATGGCTGGCTTTCTACGCGCGAGGGTCGTTGTATTTCAAAATGAAATGGATCGATCACAACATCGCGAGACCTATAAAAAACGCGTTTAACGGAAGGTTATAGCTAAACTGTGCTCTGGTATAGTTTTAGCTTGGTAAACGTCTCACTTCGTCTTGAATCTGACGCTGAAGTGCGTCCCGGAAAACTTTCATCGTTGCGTCACCTAAAACAACATATTCCAGGTTGCGTGTAGAGATTGTTCGAGAAAACCACAGAGACCCATTCAATGTACATTTCCTTAGACGGAAGAAATATCAAGCGAAAAATGCGCTAATAGAGAGAGTTAAATAGAGGGCGGATATTTTCTCTGTAATATGAGCTGATGATTTGCCGTTCGTTCTCTGAAATCGTAACCTAAGCTGAGACTCCAGTTTCAAAGCTCACTTCGCGTGACATGCACGATCAACTCAGCGACGATTTATACAGCAGTCTTTCTACTGCCGTAGAAGAGGTAAGAATGATAACATATCATAATTTATGGCAGCTGAGCGCCATAGTCGACTGTAGTATTGTAAAAAGGTACTTTTGTCTTGATCGCTGACAGCTTAACAAAATAACGAAAACAATTTAAGCTGAAGCATGCTCAGTGGCTGATATTGAGATACTTCGCGCTTAAAGAGGCATGTTTACGCTCGAGAACTTCTGTCTCTTTGTTTTACCCTTTTCATGACAGGCATTGTAAAAGAAATTTTATTTCAATTTTAACACAATTTTCTTTCAATTTAAGTTTATTTTTTTCCACCTGTTGTCAAAGTAAGGAAACAAAATATTCATATGAAACAAGCTCAACAGTGCCATGTGATTTAATGCTGATCCAGAATGTAGATAGCTCAATTGTATCAATGGTATGTCTAGGTCTATGTCGTCCATAGACTTCTAAAAAAAACTTACAATAATAAGGTAATCAGTAGCAATTTAATAATAATGATAATATTACACATTCATATTTCAAGAATGAATTAATAATTATTAACACTGTCACATCAGACGAATTTAGCCCTTCTAGCTGCTACATGTACAAGTAGTAGTTGCAAATAGAATATTAAAAAAGCATGCCTGTCAAAATGATAAATGTTATTATGGTATCTTATCTTATCCAAGTGTTGGCAAAACTGAATGAGGTTTTTACCATAATTATAATAAAAAAATATATAGTGCGAGCCTTGAGGGAAGGTTGTCATATTTTTGTAAAATTAAAGCAGTTCATGTGTCTTGTTCCACTTCACACATGTTCATTTTGATCTTTCAACAAGCTGCTATAATGACAGAATTAGTTGCTTACATGTAGCCGAGTTACTTTGTTTCCATCAATGATAACCAATCCCATGAGTATTTTCTGATCTGTATCTTCTATTTTTAGTTCCTTCATTAGAATGATAGTACATGTATAGTGTACCCCCTTCCCCACCCCCACCCCTAATTATAGCAACTCACCTCTCTGGGATTATCAACCCCTACTTTTTCACCTTTTACTTTTGTCAAAAGTCATAAATGAAAATTAGGGATTGTGAAATATTACTCTGAGAAAACAGCCAACATTTTGTGATGCCGCCAGGTCTCCCTGCAAAATGACATTTGAGAAACGAGATTCCATACAGATAATGCATCACTATCAAGATCTGGGTTGTGCTTGTGATTAGATAAAACCTATTTGGAACCAATCAGAAGCACTATCCAGATCTGGGTAGTGACTCATCATCAGTATGGAATTTTTGGGCTTGTTTCTAAGATGTCATTTTGCTGGAGAACCAGTGTGGTTGTTTTTTTCAGGTGAAATATTTGTCAAAAAAAGGTTCAGGTTAGGCAGTCTGAGGAATATACACAGATAGGATATCATAATTTTTTAATAGCTCAGTTATCCTTTTGGAGGGATACAGTGGAGCCTCGCGTAACAGCCACCTCGGTAATACAGTCACCTTGTTGTTACAGCCACTTTTTTTGGCCGCTCAGCAAAAACCACCATACATTTTCTTGTAAAGAAACCTTCATTAATACGGTCACCACGTAATTTGGCTTCCCCCAAAACTTCATATGCTTGTCAAGAAAGTTAAGAAGATAATTCACTAGCCCAATTGCAAAATCCACAAGCCTTAGGCCACTGGACACAACTTTCTTTGCATTGCCACTTATTGTTGTGCAATTTTTTTCTCATAGATCCAAAGACAAGTTGCCCAAGGATACAGTGTTATCTGGAACTGTAAAGCAGTGGATAACTTATGCTTTTGTATGGAAGATATTTTTAACCATGGGCTGAAAGAGGGGTTAGTGTGTTGCATTCTCTGCATGTTATTAACAGAAAATTTTTTCTTTGCTACTAACGGTAATGTTGATATTGCAAAATAGAATATTACAGCTGTATGCAGGGACCACATACATCTTTTAGAGGGTGGTTGTGGAATGTATATTACTAAGTACTATACCTTTGAGCTTTACCCATGGGGAGGGGGAGGGGCAGCCAAGCAATGACTTGTGGATGAAGAGGGTATGCTTGATCTATCATTTTACACATTGTTATGGATTTCACTGCATGTTCCTGTATGTGTACGGTATATTAAGCATCTTACATATAAGTAGGGTCTGTCTAGCCTGTCTGCAGTTTATTCACCAGAAACAATGTGTGCTATCAACATGTGTTTGTGGGACTGATGTTGTGTTTTTGTCATAAGGTGTCTATTTTTAGACAGCCTGAAAAGCAAAATTGAGATGTAATTTTTTCTGTACAGGATCAGGGTTTGAAGGCCTCAGCACTTGGCAGAGTTGTTGGAAAAAAAACACTAATGGAGGTCAAAAGTCTTTACAGACACACTCAACATGATAAGACTTAAACTGACTCTCATCCCTCCTCACCCCAAGCAATGTAGTTGTAATTTGTTCACCTTGCCCTGAAAAGTGTTTGCTTTACACAACATTGTTTGTTGGGGGAAAGGGAGGCCATTAGAGACATCCGAACTAGTGCAAACATAGATGTTATGTTACAACTGATAGCACATGTACAGTTTGTACCCTGGAGAAGGCAGCATTGCCCAAATGTTGGTTAAGACTCTTTTGAACAGCATCAATTTAACAATTTTCAAATTAACAAGGTTTGTATGTTCTGCTGTTGAAGGATGGTTTTTTTTAATCTCTACACCAAAGATTTTTAGCCATCATTGGAGTTTTCACAAAACTTTAGGTTGTGGGTTAAGTACCAAATTGAAGCTCTAACTTGCCCAAGAAACCAAAACCCTGAAGGATTCTGGTAATGATACTTTTAGTAAAAGTAACATCTTCATACAAAAGGTTGATAGTTCTTTGAAGTTATGTACTGATACACGTGCCTGATGGTGTTGATGTGATTTTATACCCTATGAAGAGGTTTCCTTTGATGGTCAAATAATTTACGTAAATACCTACAAAAGGATTTCTTGTTACAGACTAAAAACTGTTAGAGCCATTATACGTGTAGGTTTCATGTCTCTGTTGTGGTACAGTGTTATTTTGATTCTTAAGGTTGAAAGACTTGCCAACAAACTGGGGAAGATGTTGTAAGACTCTTATCCTCAGATAAAGTTCTTTTTGTAAAATGTTTCAATGATTTTTTCATTTTTCTGGTTTAAGATTGGTGGTCTTTTTTGCAGGCTTCTCAGCTGGGCTTCAAATAATCAAGTATCTTTTTGGTCACTTGCGAATAAAATTACATGTAAAAAGGACATAGAAGACATTAACAGGTACTTGACCAGGAAAAATTGTAAATTTATGTTGATTTATTGTGGTGAGTGTCCCGTTTGTGTTTTATACATGTTAAGTAATAAATTATTGATCGAACCTCTTCAAACCTGAGAGTTTGCTTTGTTTTCTGACACCATTGCCCCACCACAAAAAGCAAAGCTGTCATAGTGAATAACAAAATTAATGAAAAATATTTTCCTGCCTAAAGCGTCTGAGTTGACGCA